GTACATCCAGTATACACCACGCATGCGTGACCCACACATTTTCAAACAAGCCCCACTAGCCAATAACAGATGGCACACATATAACCCAACCTATCTCCAGTCAAACAGAATACGAGGTGTTTTCTGACTCCTTTAAACAGACACAACTGAACGCAAAACAAACCCTCTTCCAGTTTTCCCTTTACAATTGGTCTAGTCAAATTGGTGAAAACAACCCATTTATTCGTTTTTGTATTTTCTGTCTTAAACCAGAAAATGAATCATGTACATGAATCTGTCCCACTTGTCTGCCCGTTTTTTTATGATCCCATTTCTGTCCTCAGACTATAAGACTCATCTTGCCCCTGATCACCTACATGCATGGAAACATGGAGACTAAGGCGACGTACCAACTAACATCAAAATCCAATGAAGATGGACAGCTAACCCAATGTAGATCTGTAAGGACAGGAGAGGCTTCACCAAGGCTTTGGTGCTGCTTTGGTACTGGAGGAGGACAGTTGGGCGCTGGGAAGTAAGAAGGGGGAGCAGTACTCAGCTGAAGCTCCAATTCCTTCTACCTCACATTTCTCATAGATTCCAGGTCCACGGCAGCAGCTGAGTTTCATACTGCTATTGATTCAACTCCAGCTAAAATTCCTTTAGCCAAATTTCCAGCATGAGGTTCCTGGAAGGACGATCAACAGGATCTATGCTTGTGATCTTGTCAGTTCCAGGACCAGCCATCCCGAAATTCCCAGACAAATCCGACCGTGTTGCAACACCCGAGATCCTCTTCCCCTCTGGTAGGATCTGCTGCTTCCTACTCCTTTGGCAGTGCCTCCTTAATTTCCCTTTTTAGAGCCTCCTTTGGTACCTCAGTATCAATAAAATCCACCACCAGCAACAGATTGGCCTTACGGCACTTGTTAAATTCCTCCAGAGTTGAGGAGATAGCAAACCCATGCAGACTGAACCGGGCAAACATCATCTTGGGGAAGAGAGAAAAACACAAGACTACAAACCACCAAACAAACACAGCAAGCAACGCAGAGGTGGATCCCAGAAGAGCCCCCAAATTCTGTTACTGCCCCATCTAGGGGGAAGAGCCATAACAGAATGGAGCAAGTAATAAATGGGGGGACAAGACAGGTGGGTGGTGAAAAGGTAGTGATTATGGGATGTTAACAACAGGACACAGCAACAGGACTGTGCTGGCCGCTCCATTATACACAGAATACCAGCTGACTGCTACTTCCCTAAATAGTTCTTGCATAGTTTGGATGTATAATATACTGATAGCCTTTCTGACACTCTACAGTACCATCACCAAAGCGGCCCCAGACCATCACATTGCCTCCACCATGCTTGAAAGATGTCATGAAGTACTCCAGCATCCTTTCATTTGACCTGCATCTCACAAATGTTCGTCTTTTTGATCCAAACACCTCAAACTTAGATATGTTTATCCATAGCACTTTTTCCAGTCTTCCTTTATCCAGTGTCTGTATTCATTTGCCCATCTCAGTCTTTTCTTTTTATTGGCCATCGGTTGCACATTGGGGCCTCCCTCTACCCTTTCTATTGTGGTTAGAGGCAGTTTGCATTGGTCTGTGAAGGGAGCAGTACACAGCATTTTACGAAATCTTCAGTTTCCTGGTAATTTCTCGCATGGAACAGCTTTCATTTCTTAGAACAAGTATAGACTGACGGATTTCAGAAGAAAACTCTTTATTTCTGACCATTTTGAGCTTGTAATCAAACCCACAACTGCTGATGCTCCAGATACTCAACTAGTCCAAAGAAGGCCGGTTTTATTGCTTGTTTAATCAGCACAACAATTTTCATCTGTGCTAACATGATTGCAAAAATTGCATAATAATTGCACAATTGTTTTCTAATAATCAATATATAGACACACACACACACACAAACAGACGACACACACACACATATGTGATTTTTTTTTTATTTATAAACTCAAAAGCAAAATTAATTGAATGCATTAATTTAAACAAATTGCTACAAACATGATCAAGTAATTACTGAAAGTTTACTTTGGTTTCGACTTTGGTATTCAGGCAAAAAAACAGTNAAACATGATCAAGTAATTACTGAAAGTTTACTTTGGTTTCGACTTTGGTATTCAGGCAAAAAAACAGTAAACATGTCTTGGGGAAACACAGGCAAGTGAGTCATCTGGATACAAGCAGGGAGCAAACACAGCAACACAGGAGCAAACACAGCAACACAGGAGCAAACACAATGCAGCACATACAACCAAATACAATGGCGAATGCACTTTATACACTGTAATGCAGAGCCTGTACTGTAATGTTGAAACTGGTGTCTTTGACATGAATAAGTAACAGTTTTCTAAAGAAAATGATCAGTTAGTGACAAGGAGAAAGTGGGAACTGAATATCATTCAGAATTTTGGAGCTCAGGAACATGCTTACATTGACATTTTGGCAACGTCTATAAAATTACAATTAACATCTGAAAAACGACAAGTGTAATCCCCATACAATGATGCTACGTCAGCACAGCAGAACAACATTTCCTCATTGCTTCACACACATTTCCAAACGTTTTAGTACATATATGCAAATAGTTTTGTACAATTGTCACAATTCAGTTTTCAGTGCTTTTAGTCTTGTTAGTCAAAACAGATTATGTAGTTTCCTACTGTAATAATTTTACACCCAAAACGATATATGCATCTGATGATCGTGTTAGCCACCCCATGCAAAACAGTTAACCAAGCTTTCAAAATGATTTAATAATATATTGAATAAATTGCAATGATATGGCATTGTTGTGTTTTCGGTTCTCATAGTATATGATTTT